AAAATAATAAGGTTTGACTCCAACAAAGAAAGCAGCAATGTTAATGCATTTGAAAATTTTCTGCACAAAATATGCAAATAGGGGTTTCAACTGGTGTCAGAGTCATTGAACACATGTAACCCCTATGATGGAAAAAAAACTGCATATGTTGTGCAGATGTGTWGCTAAAGAACCTCTAAAAAGGTTTTCACAGGCAAAATAAAAAGTGCATACAAGCGAAACCTAAAAGGCAAGTAAATATCCGAGCAGAGAACCTTAGAAAATAACACGCATCCGCTTTTTAGAGTTTAACATGGATTCATATTGCTGATCTTTTAAATCATACATAATTACAAAATATAGAATTTCTCTTTACAAAGTTTATCTTGTTATATGATACAATTTACAGCATTTCAACGAGGAAATATTAATCAGGCTATTCTAAAAAAATTTCTTTAAAATAACCCGCCTGCTAGTGCATTTACCCCCAAAATGCTTTTGTTGCTTCAAAAGTACACATCTCAAAGTGATGCTGTTATAGGACAAATAATTCCTGCATAATCTGGTACAACACTACTGGAGCTCTTCGTGTTTTCCTTTAGCTTTATTCTACAACAGCCTGCTGCTCTAACAAGAAAGGGATCAAGTTTTTTTTTAAATTTCTAAACACTACAAGATATTACTCTCTATTCTTGCATTGAAAACTTGCATGATATGCCAAACTTTATTAAAGTGACTGAGGTAATGACATCAAACATCTGATTGTCATCACCTTTAGAGACCCCGCCCTTGTAGAAGATCTCACACCGTCGCCAGCTGGTCCATCTCTTTCACTGGCAATTTGTTTTCCTGGCCTCTGATTGCCATTGTGTTACCTCCAGGTCAAGACCATTAAAGGAGGGGAGGGGGGGTCACGTCAGGAAAGATGGTCGCTGGCTCTGAAGCGTGACCTCCTCCGCTGGCAGGTGGAGAGCATTTCAAAGAGCAGGACTACTGTGGCATGTCTTTCTTCTTTGTATGCCTTTTCCTTTCAGTGTAAAAGGCACTTCTTTTGGTCAGAGCCAACAGATGCATTGCTTTTGTTTCCTGTGTTCACGATTGTTTCCCACCAAAGTTCAGATCTGCCGAATTCTCCAGCCACTGCTATAAAGTCGTGATGCAGATCATCTCGTCTGCCAGGTCCTCCTCGTAAGGAGCTCTGGGTTCCGGCTCCGGCTCCTCGTCGCTGTAGCTGGCTCCGGTGTCCTGCAGCTCGTAGTCCCTTGGAGTTAAAAAGGGAAAGACGTTGACCCCGTTGATGCCGGGGGCYATTCCTTCATTCAGCAGGTGGCTGGCTGCACTCTCCATCTCATCTATCGTCATCTCGCATGCATCTGCTATCTCGTGCTTCGTGGCGGCGACAAACTTGGGATCCTTGGCGAATCTCCCAAGACCCTCTGATATCAAAACCTGCAGGATGGAAAGTGACAGAGGGCTATAAAGTACTTGAAAAAAAAAACAAGTAAAAGTAAAATTAAATGAACAGAAAATGACTTTGGTAAAAAAATAAATTTCACTGATGAGAAAACCTCGCCTCTGTCAGTGTGCCCCAGGGCAGCTGTGGCTACAACGTAGTTTGCCATCATCAGTGTGTGAATGTGTGTGTGCATGGGTGAATGTCTGTAGTGTGAAGCACTTTGAGTGTCCTGGATGGATAGAAAGGTGCTATATAAGTACAATCCATTTACCATTTACCATTTACCAAAACTACTCAAGTAAAAGTCATGAAACTGTTCAGAAAAATTTGGAAAGTAAAAGTAAAATAAAAGTACTTCTACACACTCTCTAAGAAATAAACTGTTAAATATATTAAACCAAACTTGTTCCACTAAGCCAGGTTGAGTAAATTGAGCAATATACGAATGTATACTCTTTGCTCAATTTACTCAACTAGGCTTAGTGGAGCCAGCTGACATGACTTTGTTGAGTAAATTCAACACTTCATTTTTAGAGCATAAACATCTTCTTTCATGATGAGTTCCAACATATTCAATCTTGTAACAAGTAACTAGGTGTTAAATTTAAAGTAAAAAAGTAAAAATATCATTTTTAGCTTTAAAATGTTACAAAATGTAAGTAAAAGTAGCTATTTAAAAATAATTGGTAAATTTACAAATCCTCAAATAAACTACTTAAGTACTGTAACGAAGTAAATGTACTTAAGTTACTATAAACCTCTGGAAAGTTAACATTTATGCATCATCACATTTTTTCAAAAACGCTCCAGCGAGGCTGAAACTCACCGCTTCTACAAGACTGGTTGCACTGCCTCTCTTCTGATGGTACTGGTTGTGGTACTCAGGTGGTACCTGCAGGTGGACAGGTGAGTACGTCCTCTGGGAGAACTCTGGGTCRTCCGAGTACCAGGAACTCTTGCGCACAGACACTTGGCTCCTAGCAATACTGTCCCTCTGAGGGCGGTCCACACGGATGAGAGGTGTGTAGTACGGCGACTGGTCTTTACTGGCCGGGGTGGCGGGAGGCGTGGCCCAGGAGCGAGTGGAGCGGGTCGGGGAGAGGCAATGGGCTCTGCTGGAGTCCAGGCCTGCTACAGCCATAACCTGAGGGGGTCAGGAGGGAAGCAGGAACACAAAGTTAACACATTCTGTTRGACAGTATCATGCATAGTATTACAGGAGCCCAGCTGAAGTACCTGATGCTGCATAAGGTGCAGGGGTAAAGCAGTACGGTGATGTGGAAGCTCATCCTGGCTACTTTGTCTGCGCAAACACTCAAAGTTAAAAGACGGCCTTCTGTGACCTGAACAGGACAAAAACGGACCGAAGAGAGACGTCACAAAGGTTAGACTAACTAAAACCACGCAGTAATTTTTTTAATTTTTTTGAAAACAGCACCTCGTRATGTACAACAGAGTATTAGTGCCACACAAGATTTAATTTTAATTATGAGATTTAAAATCATAATATTATGAGATTAAAGTTGTAATATCATGAGAAAAAATTGATAATTTTACAGGACGTCCACTTTTCATTCCTGATTTTTTTACTCATTTGATCATCATTTTCCTAACACCTGCTGTGGACAGCCATGTGTGTCTCTGTGTTTGTGAAGTAGTTCGCAATGACTTTTGGTTCACTGTTAGTGTAAAATTCTTTCATCAAAATTACGGGATGACTAAATCTGACAATGCAACCATTAATTCAATTCAAAAATACTTTATTGATCCCAAAGGGAAATTAGGTAACTGAAGTTAGTTCAGAACACCCATTCAGAAGAAGAACAAACATAGGAGAACATGTCCCCTGGGACATGCTCCCACTGACCCCTACACAGAGCAAGGATCATCTTCATGAAGACATCATGAGGAGGCGTAACCTTTAACAGAAAAACTAAAAACCACACAAGGGAAGATGAGGAAAAAAAACATCATTGTAGAGGCTAATTCGTTTCTTCATTACCTTTGTTTCTCTGTTAACCCCTTCTTAAAAAGACCGAGGCAGAGACGAGGTTTAACGCGTGTGACAGCTTTCCTGCAGCATGGTAAATTACTGTCTGCTTCGTCGGTCATCTCCTTTATTCTTTCTTTACACAATAACAGAACCATGAAGAAAAGCACTTCTTCTTCTTCAGTTACACACTCATATACAAAACAGCRCCTCTTATGGTCACATGGCGCAATAACATTCTAAATAAATAATAAGTCTCAAAATATGGCACAAACAAAATACATTCCTTCTTAAACAAATGATTCAAAATGAAATACAAAAAACTGTTTATCATAAACTTGCAAACATACAAAAAATGGTGCTAACAATCATATTATATCAACAATGTGACACACTATGTTGTTTATAAAAAAAAACCTCTACATGGAGCAGATTTATTAGCCAGTGGAGTAAGTGAGTTTAGTGGGTCATGTATCTGAAGCCATGAGTGTTGTATGCTTGTGTGAATATCTGAAGAATGAGCACGAGGAATCCAGTCCCCAAAACCAGCGCAGCCATAGTTCAGAATATGGATGGTAACTGCTCATTCTGTGTGGCCTTCAACCTGCTCCAGGAACAAGATCACAGACGAGTGTGAGAGGAGGGGAGGTGTGGGGCAGAGCCTCAGTTGACGTCAGCATCCAGGAAGAATTCAGTCAACAGCTCTTTAAGGCCATGTAGGGAAGACAAATCTGTAATCAGTTGTTTTGGGAACAGAAGAGTCAGGCAGACGATAACAATTTTCTTTCTGCTTTAATGTCCGCTGGTACATCCAAGGTGGCGAATCCAATCAGACAAATAAAATGTGGACAAATTCCACCCAGCTTCTCCAAGATCAATTCTACTTGGCCAGCAAAGTCCAGGGACCACAGCTGACCCGCAACCCTCAACAGAACCACTTGCAGACCGAGTCCAGCTCGCTCAAGGCCAATGCCCGAGTGCTGATAGAATACAGCCATCCATCAAATTGGTCAGGCAGCCAGGAAATGAAAAGCCACTGACGATGTTTTGTAGAACACCAGGAGACCACCAAGCCAATCTGTAGAATCCAGTGATCAGAATCCAGATATATATATATATCCAGAACAGAGAAGAACAGAGGCCCCACCTTTGACATGTCCTCCCATGGAAGAAAAAAAAATTGTTCCAAAAAAAATTATTAAGAGACCAGCTAACCAAATCCATAAAAATAAAAATATCCATAATTTCTGGTTTCGGATGAAAACGCAGAGAAGGCTCCAAGCAGCAAAGCAGGGAAGATAAGGAAGGGCAGGAGAGAAGGAAAAAGCGTCTTACCCCTCAGAGAGCAGAACAAAAAAAATTGCAGTACGGCTTCAGTTTATCATATAGTCGTTTGCACAATTGTTTCAAAGTCCTGCTACTGGTAATTTGATGCTAATGTGCAAAAAGATGAAGTATTTCTTTTAAATGATAYTAAAGAACAACTTCACAATGTGCTCAACATTCCTAAAGAAGTGGTAAGACTGCTTTTTCTCGTAATATTATGACTTTAATCTCTTAATGTTACGACTTTATTTTCATAAAATTATGACTTTATTCTCATAATAAAAAATAATAATCTTGTGTGGCTCTCATACTCTATCGTAGCAATGAAACAGGAGTAATGACTTTCTAAATGTAAAGAATAGAAAGCACAGATAACTGTGTTAAAATGTAAGGAGTAGAAATAAAATGTTAGCTGAAAAATAATTACTCCAGTAAAGTACAGATAACCAAAATTTGTACTTAATTATTTTGCACCTCTGTGTATAAGAGACGAATKTTCTTTGTGCTGAGAGTCAGGAAAGAGGCAAGGACAAACCTTGAGGAGGTGTGGCTGGAAGCAGCCTTCTTTTTGGTGACCTTCTAGAGTCTCGGTACAGAGGCTGCTCATCATCATCGTAATAACTGTCAGGGTGATGGTAGCCTTTAGGAGTCTCATACTCTGTGTCACTGTTCTGATACCTGCCCGTCAGGTGAAACAAAGCGCCTGTTAGAAAACTGAAGCACACGTTATGCCCAAACACTTTTTTCCAAACTTAGTTTCACAAAAGCTGAAAGAAAGGGGGAACGTCTGTAAACATTTTACGCTCAGGATTCAATATCATAAAAAAGAGGTGATAAAATAGTAATACCTGTCCCCAGACAGCATACTGTCATCCTCATAAAACTCCTCCCCGCTGTAATATTCCCCAGACAAGCGGTCCTCATCAAACTCGTCCTCCCTGCGGATGGTGGGGTGATGGTCGTCACCTCTGTGTGACCTGAGGGATAATCAGGGGTCTGGGGTTAAAGAGTTCACGTCACTGCTGCTCAGAGGGATTACTGGAGTCGAACCATGCTTTGCCATGCAGACACAAGCCTCTAGGGGGCAGCAAAGCATTAAACTACCTTWATCAGATCAAGGATACTGAACAACAGAAAAGGTTTTATTCCTAAAACTTATATTAAATCATTCGTCTTTTTTCTTTTGATGAACCATCAAAGTTTAGGATAGTGCAGTGTTAAAGACTGTGAGACAAAAATGTTTAACATGTAAAATAGTTTTAAAAACATTCTCATTAAACTTCTTCAATTTATCATTGAACTTCTTCAAAATGGTTGTATCCATTTGTCACATGCAGAAAGCAGAGCTGCTCTCAGCATGATGGGTCATTCCACGACAACACACCCACTCTCCCATTTCATGTCAAAAACATTTACAGTGTAGGGTTCACCTCGAGTGAAGAAACAAGATTTACTGCCTCGAAGCAGGCCTCGGACAGGCCTGACGAGAGGACAGGAACTCTGCCACAAACTGAACTCTATTTAGGCCTTGACAGGTCATTCTAACCGTGGAAGAGAACCCCTCAGTTCTCTTAATCAGATAATGGACAGAACAATCTCTTCTGTTCGTGATTCATTTGTTGTTTAATTCAGAATGTTTATGCATTTGTTAAATCATGATAATGACTGTCACAAGAAAAGTGGAACCACTTCTTTTCTTTTATCGTACCTTAAAGATTTATAATGGTATAAAATTCACAGAGAATCTGATTACAATGTTTTCAATGTGTTTTTATGTAAATCACTGTTTTTATTTTACTGTGAACACAGTAATATAATTGTGGATTTTTCCTGAGAAAATCTTTCATTTATCTGGACTAACAGAAGGTTCAGAACTAATTATAATACAGAAATGTTAATTAATCATCATAAATGTTTTGCAGTGATTTCTCTTAGTCTATCAGAAGAAAGCTGAAAAGAGGTTATCATATCATGTTGTTGAACAACATGATCTGAAAAGAGGTTATCATATCATGTTGTTGAACAACCACAGAATTTTAACCTTGGGCTGGCGCCGGCTGGCAAATCTTTATCTTTCTTTCTCTGACTCATCTCTAAGCCTGAGGGCGAACCAAAGTTTGTCCGTTTCTTTTGCTAACCCAGACGGCTTTGAGCGACACTCTTCTTCCTGATTCCAACCTAGGAAGACAGCTGGGATTCTCTCCGGAGAAACCTCAGTTTGGCTTTAAGTCTGATCCCATGAGCTAACTAGGGAAGACTTCACAGCCAGGGACCCGGCAGGCCTGCCGGTGGTCTCACCCCGAGGCTGAGCCTCCAAGTGTGTTTTTAACTCCCGAGGGGAGATTTTATTTTGGAAGGAGGAACCAGATACGGCTTGAATTTTTCTGGCTTGGACTGAAACAGACAAAAGTTACCTGTAAAAACACCTGTTCACCAATGACCGGTAAGCGAGCCGACATCAGTTCACTAACTGATCGGAGGCAAGCCAGCTCCTATCTCAAGGGTGCCTTAAGAAGACATCATCAGGTAAAAGCTGATGTGTTCGGAGTGACGTGTCGTGGCCTAAATAGAGTTCAATTTGTGACAGAGTTCCTGTCCTCTCATCAGGCCTGTCCGAGGCCTGCTTCGAGGCAGTAAATCTTGTTTCTTCACTCGAAGTGACCCCTACAACAGTTTCACCAGTCAAATATAAAATTAAACTGTTCAACAAGGTGTCTCTCTGTTCTAAAACTCGTACATTTGACATTTATTTTTTGAAGTCATGTGTGATTTTAAAAAAAATATGTGATTGAATTTTTTACTGAAAACATTCTAAACATTTATAAATCTGCAAGAAAAAGTTGTTGCCATTTAAAAAAAATAACAAAATAAATACATCAAACAAAAATAAATATTAAAACATGTCTGAAATAGTTATTTTTACATAAAATATTCTAAAATGAGTATTTATATTTTTGCATATCACTTTGACATAAATAAAAAAAACTAAAATTGTACAAATGACAATCTATTGGAAAGTTGGGAGGATGTGTTGGACTTTCATTTTCTGAGTACTGCTTCATGTTCGCAATGCACAGACTCTGGATTTAAATAACTAACATGGCAGCACCTAAAACACTAACAATTTGGCTTAAATTATGGACAATAGAGGTTAACTGAGTCACTTTGTCCATCCTTAATTATTCTGATGGTTTACATCATGTTATTTTCATAAAGTCCTAATATCCCGCAAATTTTTTTTTTTTAAAAGTACACTCAGGAATATCTGTGTTGTATTAACTCTTATTAAAATAATTAGGCCTGTGGTTTGTCTGAGCACAAATTTCAACTATATTTAACTTAACTATTTAATATGTAATATTTAGGAAATAGAATCACTGACACTCTAACTCTGGGTGTTAAACTAAAGTTTAGGAGTAAAAGCAGATTGTATTCGTTGAATCTTATAATAAAATCAATGATGTAAACTGGGAGAATCAGGTGTTTTTGAATTGGATGACTCACATGCTGACCACTCTCATGTATATAATATTCTTAACATATCAACACAATGCAGAATAACAGAGATAGACAAGGACCAGACTACTGACTGATCAACATGTAGCACATAATGTGGATTTGGGAAGGATGCAGCCATTAGTCAATTAAACACCAAAATCAAAACAAACAAATATGGGCCTTCAGTTCCTGCTGAGACATACAGTAACGCTGGAACCAACCTAGAAAAACAACATACCTAACATACGCCTCATAGTAGCGCCTTCTGTCCAAGAAAGCAGAGGGATGATCGAGAGAAAGCAAGTTCGTTAGGAAGAAGAAACACAGAAAACATGGGGGAGACAGAGTGGGATACATATATATATACACACGTGTGCATATATATATGTGTGTGTAAAGAGACTAGAGGATGATAGACGAGTACTCCAATGCTGTTTCAATTTTTGTAACAAAAAGATAAATCTCTGATTTTGAAGAAACAGATATAAAACTGTCTCCCAAACAATTTGGAGAAAAAAAAAGAAAAAAATTGACCCAACTCTGAAGCGTCTAAATCAGGGGTCTGCAACCTTTATGATCAAAGGAGCCATTTCTGCTCCTTGTTTCACTGATAAAATGTATCCAGAGCCGCAAAACAAGCTACAACTGTGATTATCAACTGGTGGTCCGTGGGCCTTTTCATGGCCTTTTTGGGAACCTTTACGGCCAGTGGAGGTGACATTATAAAACTAAAAAAATATATTGTGAATTTTATTATTTATTATTATTTTTACACATCAGAACAAATGAAAAGACAATATTCAGGTAAACATAAAATATACTGTATATAGTTTATCCTGAATTTCATAAAAACTATTACAACTGAACTGTTCAGGTATATATATTTTTTCTTATTCTTATTACTATGTGATCTTCAAATTCTTTAAAAGTAATTCTAATAGGTTTGAGAGAAAGAAATTGGATTATTTAAGTAAACAACATAACATGAGCTAACATGTTTTACTTTTTGTATTAGTAGTATTAATCACGTTTTTGCATACAAATTGATTTCTGTTGTGAGTATAGAAAACAAACAAACAAAAAATTCTGTTGTGTTTGGTCACATTTCAAAGAGCCACTGCAGAGGGACCAAAGAGCCACATGTGGCCCCAGAGCCACAGGTTGCAGACCCCTGGTCTAAATAAACAAAGATGAATAAATGGGAAATCATGAAATGAGTCTTATTGGTCAATCATTAAATTAAATATTAGACTGAAAACAGGCTTGTTAATCAGTTGATGGTTTAGAGTTTGTGAACAGGCTAATAATAATCTGTCTGTGGATGCTTTCTGCAAACAGAACTACAACAGGGCCAGTAMAGTTCATGAGTGATTTTAGCTCAGTGTGAATACCTTTGACCCTGGGGTGTCCGTGGCTTGTGGTAGTCATAGTAGGAACTGCGTAAACCTGGGTATCCATTGGGAGGTGCGTGGTCGTAGTAGTAATGGTGCCCTCCGTTGGGTAGGCTAGACACGTTGGCATTGTTTAGGTTGATGTTGGTGGATTTAGGAGACTTGCCGTACGAGTTGTGGTGATGGTGGTGGTGGTGGTGGCGATGGACGTGGCTGGCGTGGGACATTGCGTTAGCTCGAGACAGACGCCCCACCGGCTGCTCCAGGTGAGCGTAGTGAGGTGGAGGCTGCACCTGCAGGGGGCGCTGTGTGGTGTTGGTCTGATGCCCGTCAGGCCGCCGATGGCCACCGTTCATGAGGTGGTTCCCAAAGAGTCCGCCGTTACGCTGTGAAGATGAGCTCAACGTAAAAATCCAAGAGCTTCCAGCTCTTACAAAGGCTTTATGTAATATTGATGTTAAGGCTGGAAACTGATATTGACTCGTAAATTAAGCAAAAACAAGTTTAAAAGCTTGCAGATGGTATGATATGTGAGCAAAGTGAAAATGTTTAAACTGTTCGAGCTTAAATGAAGAAATCATTAAAAAAGAAATGAAAACAAAGCCCTGAACATTGTGAATCATTACGAAACCATTTGTCCCACTAATCTAAACTTTGTGTAAATTTAAATAAAGTTACCCTATAAATTTCCTCGTCTTCCTCAGGAATAAAGTCTACTAGATCGTCATCTTGCAGATCACATGATATCGCTCGGCGAATTTCCGGCCCAATATCATGGAGTGTGCGGAGGCCAGCCTGTAACCATGACAACAAGAGGGCTAAAGCACGGCGGCCGGGACCTGCGTCTCACATCTTACAGCTCAGCTCACAACCACCACGCGCACACACACACACACACACACACACACACACACACACACACACACACACACACACA